GGATAATATGTCAAATATGGTGAATCAAATTTATGTCTCGTAGTAGGCTCGGAAAGTCTTATCAAATCCGACAACACGTGATGCCAATCTTACTGAGTGGGTGGAGTGAGGTACTGTAATATACTTGGCCAGTATTGCGAGTCCGAACGGCCACAGACACATTTGATTCGCGCTTAGAACTGAGCTCTGCTGCCTCCTTGAATAGGCTCTTTTTCCGTCTCTAGCGCTGTTACGATGTTGCGCGAACGCTGCGGAGCGACGTTCTTGAATCTAAGAGAATTTCGTCATCTTATTTACCAATCTGATGAGTTTTATTGTGGAGTATTCGGAGTCTTGAATATACACTGCTCTCAAACTTCTGCGTAGTACTGCGGAAACATGCTGTATTATGCGATCTTCTTTCCCCGCAGAATATAGTGCTCTTGACAAGCTCCGCCACAGGTGCTTTATTCATGCTCAGCTTGACTATAAGAAAGAACCTTTAGCCCAGAATACTGTACTAAGCTCTATAACCAGTGGTCTCTGCTTTTGCCAGAACATTCCATTCTGTTAGATGCATGGGATGTGGATTCAGTAGCTATCAATACGACTATCGCGGGAGGTTTCTTTGCCGTTCTCCTCTTGCGCTGCGCTTTCCTTCCTATCAAGATGAGAAGGTACGGTTCATTTCCTCCAAACACGTCTTCTGAAGCTTCTATTTGCTCTTCAGAGGTAACAAGAAGTGAGAGCATGCACTTGACTGATTGCCTAATTTCTCGTTTGCGATAGCAAGCATCTTCATATTTTTTGCGGGGTGGGTTTGTTGATTGGGACCGACTACCGAGCAGGGACATTAGCCATTATCGGATCAATTATGCCTTTGTCTGCCAGCATTCCCATAGGGCCTTGACAGTAAAAGGGAAAGCAAATTACCAATACGCTAGAAAAAGTGGAATCATGATGTTCATGTGTTGTTTTTCCTGTTCAGAGAATTGCAGGCTCTCATGCTTGCGGTCTGTCTGAGTGACGACTAGCGGGTGGGACCCTGGGATGCTAGACTCGGGCCTTTAGTTGAACACCTGCAGCCATTGTCACTGCCCTCACAAAAAGTTCCTATTTCTGTTGAACACAATAACACGGTCATTTGAACAAGTTCAACAGCTTCCATGATATGAGCACAACAGCACTTCAAACATTGATCAGGGCTCAGCAACCATGATCAGTTCCACTTTTATGGAATCAGCACTGGCCGTCGCCCATAAATTCAGCATCTTTCGCCTCATGCTGCACATACTTCACCATCGTTGGCGCCTAGGCCAAGTCAATAATTGATCACTGACCAAAATATCCAAATCTTATCAGAAAGCCAGAAAATCTCCAAGACTCGAACAACACTTGGGGCTTTTCTCGCTCTACCAATCGCACTACAGGATGATTTGTCTATCGATCAGCATCGAAGTAAGTGCTGTTAAATATTTTACTTCATCCGCTCACCTGCGTTGCCGAAGCGAACCCCCGGAACCATTACCAAAATATTGACTCGAAAGTCATTTTTCGAGGTTAGAATATCCTTTAATTCTCTTCTCTGCGCATTAGCCTCATTCAAGTGCAGTTTATACGCATAACAGATCGCCTGTGGTGCAAGCTTCGAAAAATTAATACGCGTCAACAAATTATCTGTGCAAAGCGCCTGGAGGCAGCAGGTTATATTACCGCTTACAATTTATACACTCAAGAATATGCTGTGCTATCATGTACAAATTGGCCTAGTCATCAAAGCACGGAATACCTTACAATTGGCCTCATGGTACGTTATATCAAAGTCTTGATTTATTTGCAGCTTCTTATGCTTTTACCATAGGATGCTAGCCGGGGAAAGAGTCTGGAAGATCTAAATGAGGATAGTTTGTTCAAGGTCAGGAAGACCGCCGGTATATTTCTGAGGCCTTATTCTAATGGAGCAATAGTTTGTTCGTGAATTTGGACGCAATCTGGAGAAAACACACGAAATACCACCAAGCCAGCTGATTAGGATTTATCAACGGTGCCAAGTGCTCGGACACGAATGTTCGTACTTCTTCGGAGCACAGCAGGTCGAAGCGGTGATATCAACAGACAGCCCTGCCTCGTCGGAATTGACCAACTATGGAGAACCATGGGTGGATGGAAATACAATATCGGGTATCATTTTCTATGTGTTTGGTTTCTTTCATCTCATTCTGCATCTATGTCTAATATCATACAGAAGACAAGATCGCAGAACCCTGGCCATTGCTGTCCGTACCGCACCCTCCTATTCTGCCACTGAGCGACTTTACCATATCGAGTTCGTTGATTCCTAGAGAACAATGGATGGAGAACATTCAACCAGCAGGTGATCACAAATCTAATGCCCCGAAAAGCTTTTCTTCCAGTGAAAAGTATGAACTAACATTATCAATTAGGAGACAATAATATAGATCACAGTTCGCCCTTAGCCATCTCTTCTGTTTCTCTACCGCTCGCAAACGGATATAATTTGTCGGCTGCGGAGGATATCTCGCCAAGTTATAATGATTTTGACGCCATTCTAGACAGCCAGAGTCTCTTAGGTCCGAGTTCAGATCTAAATATACTCCCTGAGGACCAATCTAGGCCGCTGCCAATGATGATCAATACACAGGGGCCGCTAACCACAGAAACGCCACCAGCATCAATGAATGCGCTTGGAGGAACTGAAACCAACATCTATTCTTACTCGACACGCACTCAAGAGTTTGAAATTGCCTCCTCTCCAGAACAGTGGCTACCAGCATTGGCCAGTCCAAGCCAAAATTTACCATCCCATGAGGTTCAAATGATCTCGCGGGTATCACCAGACACGATAAGTTCCAGAGAGATGAATCGCAGACTCTTGCAACTGTATAGGCCGAAGGAAGACTCGAAGAAAGGCCTGGAAAATGGCCCGGCCCTGTCCAGTTCGAAGCTCAACAGCATGTTAAAATGGGCAGAAGAACTTCGATTGCAACCTCCCCCAAATCAAAATGTGCGATTTCTTTTTGACGGCAATTATAAAATGCGCGATATCTTGCCTAAATTGGGGCTTCCAGAGGAATGGGGTACTCTTGAAGGTGGACGGAACTACCTTAGACTGATTAAAGCCGATAAAAAAGATGTCCTCGATCCGTTCGCAAAGCGGATCGCACTGGTCATCTTCTATTTCACCTACATCCAGCTGCAGAAAACAGAAAAGAAGTCTGGCAAAGGTTCTGTCGCACATCAGTTGCTCAGACCTGACTTTCCAGAGCCTGACAAGCCGCTCTTGGATCAGGTAGCCGGCACTGTACGACTTGGAAAATGGTGGTGGTGGCTTATTGCGACTTTGGGACTTGGCATATTCTTGACTAACACACATAACACCGCTAAATCCATGTATGTATCTGAATTTCTCACGATGCCTCCCACTAATGTTTCAATGCTACAGGCATAGTAGTAAGTTGAGCAACGAGGAAGCAGCTGCTTTTATGACCCTTATTTTGCGCACGCGACCGGGAACTGTGCGTCTATCTGAATCTTTGGGGGTTCACCTCCAAGCTCGAAATAGGGAAGATGAATCGATTGGGCCGAACCAGAATAACCCGATTGGAAGTGCGGACCTGTTCAGCCCGGAAAGACTGGCAGACGCCCACAGAGAAGACTCGAACGGTCTAGTCAGCCATCAGACCTGTGAACCCTGGACAAGTATCGACATCGAGACTTGTGCGAATGACAAGATACCAGATTTCTTGGCATTAATGCGTCGATAGTCATGAAAATCATTAGTAGGGTTTATCAAGTATTGGGATTTTTTTCTCTTTAACAGTATGACTGAACTTGAACAATGCTTGTATTATCTGCAGGCTGTACCTGTGATTGCTATTTGAGGAAGCACTTGGCGGATTTTAACAGTGCAGAAGAGGTTGTGAACAGGCTTGGTCACTCTAATTTTGGCCTTAGTGTTCGAAGGAGGCAATCGCCTCACTATGAAGAATATTTGTTGATGGCGGCATGCGGCTGATGAATATCGCAACTTAGCTAACTTTGAGGGGTGGATCCGACCGTCATGTCCATTGAATCTCCTTTGACACTTCCGAGCGAATTTTACCCCGAATGAAGACCGGCAACTCCCAAGTTTAAGTCTGTGCTTGATAGAAAAGTCATTTCCTTGTCTTCAAGAATCTGCTTGAGACCGAGTCCCTTTGTCAGTGCCAGGATCGTAAGCTTCCTGAATATCGTTTGTTAGTAATTTAGAGTTCACTGTCATTACTGCCAGCGGCAGTATTCCTCTACTATCGTATGTAGAGGCAGGTCAGGGATTAATAGTGTATCGACCTTCTCTGTACTTGTCCGCGGTTGGGTATGTGGTTGCAGTCGGCGCAACCAGTAAACTAGGCGGAGGTGAATGAAGTGTCAAAGGTGTATGTGGTGGGCTACAGCTAACAGAACAAGTTGAATTCAGAGCGGCAGAAGAAGATTGTTTGCCATCGCAATCTGTAACGGTAAGGAGAGAGATTCTGATTACCCGAACAAATGCTTGTCCCTGGAATGGAGACAGAGGCGGTCAAGAGTCGACAAGTAGCCAGAAACAAGGCACGTGCTTCGGTGAATCAGCTAACCCTTCCGGAATTGTGTATTATTGTTGTTACGTATTGTATGTTAATATCTTGGTTTAGCCGAAATTACACAGTGCGTTGCTCCATGCCAAAAGACTGCTGACATAATAATATTTGCGTACATACTAGGGCTCTTTGAAGAATAACTATGAACAAATTCCAAAAAGTCTGGGTTAGGCATGGCAGTTGTGTAAGAAACTGTGTTTTGCCACAATCTCTGGTAGGAAATTCAAGGAAACACATTGGTTTACGACCTAAGTGGGTACGAATAGAACGTGCGTGCAGATATAAGAGCGAACCATGCAAGACCGATCAAGTCACCCCTAGACCAACTAATCTTGGTCATAAGCGGTTGCTGCAAGCATGTAAGTAGGGTTTGATACTAAAGATGGGAGCAAAAACCTTTTTTAACTCTTCGAACGAGCCAACCGAGGTCGTTGCGGAGAGAAACACAACTGCCGGGCAATCACTTGGCCAGCGATCAAGATTTTCAATGCCAATGTTTCCATCATCTTTAGCATATTTTTGCATCAATTCCATCATGACCCTTGCAATAGGTGCCAGATCAATCGCTTCCACCTTACCCGGAGGTCGAACTCGACAACAATCAAGACGTGCTAATGGTCATGTTAAAATAGATTCTATCCGCGTTTATCAATTGAGCTTACCGACTTGAACATCTCCTGCCATGCTCATCAAGATACCAGAGCAGTCAAGCGAGGGATTTTGGAATCCATGGGTGACTAGATATGAATATCCCTCCAGAAACTGAAGGTTGTCAGCTGGCTTACACAAACACAGGGGAAGCGGAGGAACGGACCTGAGCCATAATGGCAGCAAGCTGCTGTTGGTCAGGAAATGCTTTGCAAGCGACCACATGGTCCAGAGTCAGCGGATGGAATGAGCCCACAGTATAAAGGGCATTTGTGGTCTTATAGAATTCTTGCACTGACGCGATATTGTCGTGCTGAATGCGGCGAACAACCTGCAGAATCTTGCTAGCCTCTTGGCCCCGATACTGGCGAACTGCCAAGGCTTCGCGATGACCAGAGTGCCGGACAGAGACTATGACAGCGCCAGCCAGATCACACTCATAGTATTGCTTGAAAGTATCCCAGGGTGACTCCTCTCGTATAATTGGATCCGAAAGGGCATCATTTTCTGATTCAGTGATACTAGGAAGAACTAAAGCCCGTGGTTGGCCGTGAATGATTTTACGGCCAGGTACTGGGAGCAGAGGAGCAGCAGTCCTCTGCTCAAAGAACCGCCCCTTTGCTGACAGATTTTCAATGTGCTTGCCACTGGGCTTAGATGGGATAAGTGTCGCTTGTTCTGTGCCAGCCGGAAAGGCATCCGGAGGATTGACGCCATATGGCAGAATTTGAGTAATTGGTCTAGCGTCTCTGGACTGCATAACTGTATGTAATGAGTGAGTAGAATTTGGGTTAGCATAGATAATCAGAATTATGACGAGCAAGATGGAGGTTTTTGAGTCTGAAAAACTCCTGCGGGATCCTGCGGCCAGCGTACGGATCCGTATACACTAAACTAACACCTGCGGGCTGTTACAGCGTATATCTAGAGCGGAATAGGCTTGCCTGTAGTATTCTCCATGCAGTCTTATCCTATCAACTTGCGATGTATCGGGCTCTATTCACCGAGGAGGAGGTCCGCCTAGCTAGAGAGCGACGTCTCAAGTACCTGGGAACCGCCAAGGTCAAGTTAAATCAGATTCAGTTCGACCCTCCATTGCCCCGAGACTTAGATCCCAAGAATGTTAGCCGGCTACGGGAGATCTTTCGGAAGAATCGGTGTCGTCGCCTTGATGTCGATAACCATGTTCCAGCGGTAGTATCTCGGCATAACCTAGATGTCGCACTCAGGAAGGCAAACATTTCAGCCTTGTCACAGCTGACTAATAATCGCGATCAGTTACCACTGCTGGATTTCCCAACCGGAGAGCTCCAGGCGCTCCACGGACGTCATCGAATACAGGCGGGAGCCGAGCTGCTCCCTCCGGCGGATCGCTGGTGGAGCGTTGATATCTACTTGGATGGTGCATTTGCTACCTCCTTTCTGTACAAGGATGCCTACTGATTCGGAAAGCAGACATTGGAGAAGACCTAAAGACCGCTCTTGTAGAGGAATATGCCAATCAGAAGAAACCGACCGACGGGGAAATCTACCGGAAAATACGACAGTACGAAGATGAGGGGAATGAAGCATTCCGGGAGAGGTGGTTTGTTCGACTGTCAGCCAACAATCAAGACCGAATCAAACAATTGGGCAAAGAAGCAAATCGCCGTCTTCGGCGAGGTTTCGATCGATTGCTTTTGATACCAGGACTTTGGCAACATGGGATGAGAATCAGTATGATTCATCGTCTTATCGCTACTAACTGTATAGAGGTGAATTCCAAATTTGTACCAAGTCCAGTCAAGTCGCTTACAATCCTTTAGGAGATCCTCACCTATTTAGACTATATTTGGAAGTTCTGGTCCTCTTTAGTGGCCTCAGATGCCGATGCGATGAAGAAGATTGACTCTGATACGGTCGATTCTCTGCAACTACTGGCTCCAGGAAAGACTCGTTCCGACGCGCAAACGGCGGCTGGGCTAGTTTTAGGTGGACGTGCATTTGCAGCTGTTGAAGAAGAAGAACGTAGAGCAATATGGGACCGCTTGAAAGATACCAAAAGACCGGTTCCATCTTTGTATACCTTTTTCGAAGACTTCAAGTACTTGGAGAGCTGCGCTCACTGTGTGAAACGACTATTTGGACCGTCGACCGATTCCATCTGGAAAACCATGAGTTTCATGTTCAGCCCATCCGATCATTCTGATTCTCAAAGTTTAATTCAAACCTCAGAGTCTACGTTTAGGTCCGAGCATGCCACTGACGCAGTGCGTCTAAATAAGGCATACCTGCAGGTTTGGCTGTATGCGATGCGGCACTATCCGTTAATGCCCCAAGAGCCAAAACAGGAAGATGGCCTATTAGCTAAGCAGGAGAGGTTCCGTGATGAGAGAGTGATCTACGAGATGGCTGAGTTCGCTCATCGTTTAGGCTTTCGATCGCTGGAAATCGATGCTATAATGAATAGTTGTCCAGATCATCAGATCGCAAGAGCAGCTTTACTACAGGCTAGGAAATCCTACCGATTCCGATACCCCCCTCACAATTTTGACGCTCTGGTCAATCGAATTGTGGAGTGCTTCGCGACCGCAATTCCTGCCGATCCTGTGTTAGTTCACGAGCTTCTCGCAGATAGCATCGTTGGCCGCCAGGCGCGTTGCGGTATGCCCACATTTGGAGCCCACAAGCAAGACCGGCACCATCTTTTTCTGGATCGTTTGTGCTCTGATGATTTAGATGCGACTGATACGATTACCACCTTCTTTGTCCGCCGCTGTGTGTTCGAGGCATTCTTTGGAAATCTGACAGATGCGGAGCCAGACGTGCGCGAGCAGAATCAAGACCTACCTACCGATGACCCTCCCGAGTCACCATTGTTTGTTGGCGATGAAGATCTTCCGAATCAACGCGAATTCACTTCACAATTTGTCCCGCCGGCAGAACAGGAGCCTCAATACCAACAAATGGATATATCAGAACCACAGATACAGCAGGGCTTAGATCAGCAGCCTCTACCTGACCAGCGAACAACAGAGATCAGAAGAGAGAAAAGTAATCTAAGACCGCGACGAAAGAGAAAGATCACAATACGGAAGCGTCAAAAGCGTGCTCAAGATATTACGAGCCAGGAGCCAATGGAACTGGATTGGCTGAGTTCGGAATCGTCGCATAGTGGCATGAATGATCATCAAGAATGTGCAGATTCAGACTCCCATGAAGTTTGTCGGGCTATGATTTCACAAACTGAATCGGGTCCGGTCAGCCTAGGATTATCAGCAGCTCCAAGCCGCAGTGTTACATTCGAGCAGACAGAGCTTATCGATGACTCCGAAGCCCAATTTCCTGAACGTTGCTCAGGTTCCGTCTACACAGTGGATGAGGATGGTCAAAACTCGACCCTTTCCCCGGAATTCGCTGCACTCGAGCAGGAAATAGCAGACATACTCACGCCACGTGAACAGCTTGAAGCAATTGCATCACGAAACCACTTGCAGGTTGGTGGTCCAACGCATACGCACTCCACAAGATCCGAGAGCGACACCGCTTCCGAAGCTGGCATACATGAACAGCGAGTCTCAGATACTTATATTGAAAATGTGATAAGAGCTCAAGAGGAGCAGGAACGCGTGGAGGAAGACCTGGAACGTGAGAGATTCGAAGAGGAGTTCGGTCATCCCTACCAAGATCATCCAGGTCCGAATCCCACTCTCCTTGACGAACACTATGGCTCAACACAAAATGCCAATGCAACTCAATTATTAGAGAGCAAGCACACCATGAAACCAAAAGCTCCACAGGCTGCTGATCCGGAAACTGCTGAAACATCAGCAGCAATATATCTTTCTGATGGAGAATCGAGATCCTTGGTCGAGAACAGCGACTCACTAAGTCCAAGTGCTACAAACTTCACCAGCAGTGAGCAAAGCTCTGTCGAAGCTGATGCTGCCCCTAACGCTACAGACCAGAAGGAGCCGCCAAGTCTCGTGGAAATCTCTTTCTGGGTTTTTGAACGAGAGCACTGGAGAAAAACCGACTATATAGAGGTCAACCCCTCAAATACAGCGCCAGTAGAGCGAATGGCGAAGAAATATGCACGAAAAAAATTCTGCCTGTATGATCGATACTTACAAAATCTCAGCCCTGCCCAATGCTATCGCGGAGCTACAGCTGATGGTAACAACGCTATCTTCCTAATTCCAGAGCATGAGGAGCAACAGCTTGTAGCTGAGGGTCGAATTAGCAAGGAAAGGCAGCTGTTATCACTTATCTCTCAGGCCCTTGACCAGGTAGAGACTGAAACCCGACCTCCCGCAAAACGCCACCGTTACATGATGCGGAAGAGAACGTGAACAACTTTCCAGGTCTTGTCTAGACACATGTTGATCGTTCTGAATGGCGTTTATATCTATTAAAGGTGTCACGGGAGGCATAGCAGCATAGGGCTATTTGTGACCTAGGAGCTTCGTCTTAGATCAGTGACTAGCTTGTGGGGACCTTTCTGTTATGTATGCTTCAAGCAATGGTGTATAAGAACTTTTTAACAAGCTGGCATTCTTATGAAGGCACAAATCATGATAAAGTAGACTTGAAAAAGCCCTCACATGACCATTTCCTTTCTGTGAAGTTCGTCTTGTGACGGAAAAACTCACATGACAGCCAGCTTAAAAGCATAGGTCTTTCATTTAGAGACTAGCAATGTGAGAACGATCTCGAAATGTTCAGCCTTCCAGAAGAAACTTCTCGTGCCGTTGTCACTCAAGCCGCACGACATCGACGCCAGCCGCCGATTCGGCCTCGCTGGGCGCGCCTTATCTCAAAAATACACTCTGGAAGCTCTCACTTTCCAAACGGAACCGTCTATCCGATTGACGTAACGAAAATCTCGTTTCACATCAAAGTGCTGCGGAGAACTGCAGCAGACTAAGACACCATCGGCTTGAAATAGGATTTTCTGCCGCAGGAGTTGTGAGCTGACCAATCAATAACGATCGATTGTCAGGGATCCAGCTGCCCTTTAAAGAATTCCCGCAGAACTAATTATGCAGTAAGTGCTGCTCTCAACTGAGACCTGGTATCCAAACGCGACAGTATCATTCTTTTCCTAGGAGTAAGAAAAAACTAATGTGGCGCTACGGTTTGATACAGTGGCCTTGCATGTTCCAAACCACACTTCAGCCAACCTTGACGGAAAACTGCTGCGGCCCCGAGGATCCAGCCTCTGACGTCGTCGAGCCTACAATTAATCACTGGCTGTTCGGCTTCCCATGTGGGGCCTTTGACGGAATCCCCTTCAACTGAAGTCACGCGTCGAGAATGGTCTTATTGTTCGATGCTGGTTCATTCACTGATTGTCTTACGAGCCTATAAACCATTGAAGTCCATGACAACAATGTTAGGAGCTGCGTGTCTATTACCAATCCACTAGAAGGAGCTGCGTCTGCCCTTGGTGCTCAGCACCCCCTGGCTAGGCCTTGATTTGCTCGCAGGTAGAGACTGGGCAGACGTTTCCAACCATCGCTTCAAATTGAGTCCCGTTTTCTCCGCAGACATCTCAGCCTCTGCTGCCTGATCCTCAATCCTATGCATATACTGTTGCGCTTGCTCTTCTATTTCATCCATGTGCTTTTGGGCGTGTTCTTCCATCTCCTTCATACAATCGTCGGCTGTGATGCGTAAGTCGGTCTTACTATCGTCAACATGCTCGCTAAACTCAGTTTTATGCATTGCACATTCATCCAAGACCTTGTCACAACACTCGCTTAAAGCACTGTCGACAATCTCCTGAACAATTTCCTTCAGGATATGTGTTTCAAGGATGGATTTGATCTTCGCATCGATTAGGCATTCGAGGTGACTTTCGATCAATTCGATCTTGGCCAAAATGGCTTTCTCCGAATCAGAGAGTAAATTACCCTCAAAATCATCAGATATGGCCGGTAGACATCGACATACTAAGCGAATCAATAATTTGCGGATCAAATCATCGGAAGCACCATAGAGCATATGCTCAAAACGCGCAAGTGTGTCACGCTCCGTGCGTCTTGGAGGGGAATGACGCGTAAAGTCGGTTGCTCGGATTGAAGCCGGTGAAGGGGGAGGACTCGGTGTATTGACTTCAGTAGGACAGCATGGCGATTCTGGGAAAATCAAGAGCGGTCGTTTTCGTCCGTCATCCTCGGGCGGTAATGAAGAGTGATCTATAAACAATCAACAAACTATTGTAGAAGATAAAGTATAGAAGAATATTGGAGTTGAAGGTACCTCGGGGCCGTTTCTCACCCGCACGGGCTAGCTTAGACTTATCATGATATGGAGGTGGATTCACTTGCTGCACCCGTTCGGACGCAGACTCCTCATAATCAGGCGGTTTGTCAAGCCATACACTCAGATCCTTCCAGCGTCTTTCAACCCGGCCCTGGCGGGCCTCATTGGAAGACACCGCTTTGAGAGTTTTTGTGTTTAGGTCATGGACAAAGGTCCTCAGTATACCGAGTTCGTGATCCCTAAATTGTTGCCGACCGAAATAGATTCGTAGAGACTTGGATTCACAAATCCTTGCAAAAGCGGCGAAATTCAAGTCCCTATGCGCTGCAGGGAGTGGAGACGGCAGATTAGACGGGCAAAGAACAGTCTCCTCCGCAAGCGCCCGATCAAGTTCTAGATCAAGTAATGAGATGTCCCGAACATTCTTTGCCCTCGTCTGGAGTCTTGTAATAAAATATTCTGGACATAGTGTTTCGTCGCTTACCAAGATTAACCTACACGTTTTAACTGACTCCGGAGAGATTCTGAACAAAAGTGAATTTTGCCCGCTCGAATTACCCGACTTTGCATTGATACCGAGGGAAATGCATCCTTGATTAGTGTATTTATGGTAGGCAAGACGGATACTAGCCACAGAGGGATTGTCCAGAGTAGAAGTAGAAACAAGAACTTTCTTCACGCCTGTTGCCCACGGCATTTTTGTCGATAATTCGGTCATGATGCTGTTGCGAGGAAATTGAGATCAAAGAGAAACCCTCGACGAATCGAGTTACCCTCCCACCCGGGCTTTGAGACAATAAAAGCAGCCCTGACTCGAATATGTTAACAGAAGATGGAGATGACGAAGAAAGAGTAGAGTTGTAGAAGCCGTTGCGGCCTGGTCACGAGTACCTGCCCAATCCAAAATCAACAAGTGAAATCAGAGAGTCCTATGAGAACACAGGAATGGCAGGCCTGGCGGCGAGTACGGCAAGTAGCTAATACTTTCTCTACGTGGGATAATGTGACAGCGAGAGGGAGAGTAGAGCTGAATAGGTGGTTGCCTGCAAGCGTGAAATAAGAAAGGATACTACTTACGAAGATGGGGAAAGGGAAAAAGAGAGTATAAGAGGGCTGGGTGTGGCGAGTCCGGAAGCGGAATCACATTGACTCCGTCTTCCCCTTGGGTAAATTCGCTGTGACTGTTATGCCGCCTCGCGCACGGGCTTCCGCACCCAACAAAGTTCCGTATCGTCCTGACTGTAACAATACGCTCAGGAAATTTATATGGATAAGGTCAAGTTTACTAGTACGGCGACGTCAAGCAAGAAAGGCTACAGGGATTGATCATATCTTGTACGGGGCCTTAAAAAGTCGTATGCCCAGCGAGATAGCTTTTTGCGGATCTCGGACGGGAGAGAGATGCAGGATGACAGACGTTTTCTCAGTAATGAGAGTCCCGACAGTGCATACGCGTACCGTACCTATCAAGTCCTTCCATGGGACCAGGTCAATTGTGGTAAGCAAAACCTCTCCACACTTCGTAATGCTTTCCAAGAAGCTCTTTTAACTTTGGCGCCTTTGGCAAAATTCTTGGAGTCGAGCACTATCCAAGGACAGCCAGAATGTTGGTTGTTGTATTGCGCCTCATCTTTTTCTCGCATTTCGGCCAGTTGCGACCGTGTCAGGTTGAGCCGCGAGCTACACCGTAGCTGAGTCAGCGAATCCTGAGCATTTATTCCCTCAGTATCGAGCGTCCTTTCCCCGAAAACCAAATTTCTGAACGCCGACTCCAAGGAATGGAAATATTCCAGTGTTGCAGGGCGGGTGTAGAAAGCACAGGTAACAAGGGCATCTACTTGGCTGTTGGTTAAGGTGTGAATCGTTCTGAGACTCGCGTCAGCGGTTAAGACATTGATTGAATATTTTACTCATAATTTCTCAATTACAGCAGCGTCGGTGGCTAGGAGAAAACCGAAACCAAGTACACTTGCGAGCTGCCATAAACGCAACCCCTTTTGTCGGTACTTGTGAACTGCTTTGCACCAAGTGTCTGTACTGCATCTCTCAAAGGGACCATCCTCCAGATGCTGGGTGATCAAGTTAATCAGATGGTTTGTTTTTCGGCCTCTTTTGGGACGTAATCCGAATCTGTCTGGATCACTGGAGAGCACAGCGTAGTTTAAATAAAATAAAAAACACTTTATTCTACCAGCAAAAGAGTCCGAAATAGGGTCGGCTTCGAGGTCGCCGATACACCTCGCCGCGGCCTCTACACCAAACCATAAAGTGGGGATACCAACAGGAAGCAAACCGTGGGCCACATTTTCTTCCCAGCAGGCCCAAATAGGCTCAAGGATTTGACGCGGACTTCTGACGACGAGATGCCTTTGCGCGTCCAGGACTTGCAGGATTTCTTCATGGTTCAACCGTCTTTTCATCGCGAATTCACATTGTGACAGAAGCTCGTATATAATATGCTCGTCAAATGTCAGGCTCAAAGCAGATTCTGGCACGGGCCTCGGTCGTTTGCGGGTCTTGCTCGGATTCCGAATTGTCTTGGGGGAAGATTCTTGACTAACATCTTGGGACACCCTCACGTCGGTCAGTGTATCTCCAGAAGGCGTATCACCGCCCAAAGCGACAAGTGCTCTGAAACTCTCAGAATTTACATCTGGGTGATTTGCGACGTCTGAGGGACTCATGCACTGGGAAATGGCCGCCCCGATCGATGGCAGCCTAGCCGGGGATGCTGCACCATCTGGAAATGCTGCCAAGAAAGTGGTTAGGAATGGCTTGATTAGAAGTTTCGAGAAGGTCACATTTACCCTCGCTGCTTTCATGCATACAGCGAGAAGAGACCCTCAGGGAAAGTAAATACTTGCATTCGTTGTCGGTATCATGCAGGCAAGCTGTAATTACGTTGGATTCGTCTCTGACAGTCAAGGCATCGCGGCTCGGTATGAAACCCCCATGGTATGCCCTTTCAGACAGCTGGCGAATTAGCGCGCATGAAAGTGGCTGCAATTCTCGACGAAGAATTCCAATAAGAGACGAGAGCTGTCAGTTGCTTAGCAATTGTCCAATCTGATTTCGAGGACCCAAATTACTTCGAAGAACTTTGTTTCTGTCAAGGCATCAATAGGAGAGGGACTCGCCTGTAATGGCAATAATGTTAGGGGTAATTCTGGCATGGCGCGGGTAAACTTGCGTCCAATGATATCGTTAGCTCTGGCATCCTCGGCTATTCAGAAGTACTTTTCCGACGTGCGAAGGCTACCTTCTTGTTCGAAAAGCTGTGGCAGGTAACTCTGCCTCGATTAGACTCTATGTTGCCAGCTCAAGTTATCGTCATTATATCCTTGGGTAGTATCAGTATGCTTAGTGTTTTCTGGAATTCGACTACCTCAGACTGACGAAAAAATGCATCAACAGAACGCGGCTGAACCATAGCGGGACAACTGGCCATGAACAAAGAGTTGAGCGGAATCACTCTCTTGCACTAAGCGACATTCATTCGTTCAACACTTTGCAGTTGACGATTTTCCACTTTGATTTCTGTTAGCTTGGATACTCGAACTCTAAAATCGCGCCAAAGTAGACCGGTCTTGATTAGTGCTTACTCGGCCCAAGTGTGGGTTCTGAGCTGATGCTTACAGCTGCCCTCTCTTATTCTACCTGTGCAACCGCGGTATGAGTTGCGTTCAACAGGAGACTATCTGCGGGTGCTCAGCTCTTGCAACCTGTTCAACAGCTACCGCAATTGAATGCATAGCCTGGAAAGCGCTAAAAAAGATCGGTCTCAATTGGTGCTATTGTAGCTTTTACATGGCATCTTCCAGCGAGTCAAGGAATCATTTATTCTCCTAGATTTTTTTTCTTTGCTTGAGGACTCGAGATTCAACTACACTTGTCCTGGTATGATCCTGTGTATTTTCGAATTATCATTATGGCTTCTACGTTGACGCAGTGACTTTCAATTTACCCTTATCTGACGAGTTGAGAGGGGGTACAGACTACAAAGTAGGGACAAACTGAAGAGTAGGGACAGACTGGAGGTATTTTCGAACAGACCGGAGAGTAAAGACAGACTGGAAGGTAGGGATCCACTTCGATTTTACGCTCACCCGCGATCACCCTCGGTTGCCTTACTCACCCTCAATCACCAGGCGGAAATGAAACACCCGTATCCATCAAGTTTAGTATGGGGGTTTCCTTATTTGCCTCTCCATGATTCAAATCCCCATGTAGTCTTTAACTCACCTGTAAACAGGGTGACCGGGTGAGCTTAGAACGAATATAAAGAACTTAATAAGTCTATGGATCAAGATACTTTGTTGAATTAAAATCGTGGTGGTCAAATTTCCCTTCCTTACTTAATTGTTGGGATCAACAATATGGCGAATGTCAGAACAATCCGTGGGCGACATTCGGATAACCCCAGGTCGAAGCGTCAGCAACGGTTACGGCGAAGACTCCGATTGATGTTTGGTGCATTCGAATACTGTCATGAATGTGATGCGGACATCTCTCTTCTAATTCGACTAAAAGACACGGGCCAAATCTATATCTTCAATTCTGATAGCCAGTGGCAGCCATCCAAAGAGCAATTAGTTTGTGTCTTCAACTATCTCTAGCCAAGATAGAGACTAACAAGCTGCAGGCAAGTTATTACCCCAAGCCGAAACAAGTGACTTGGGAAGAACTCGCCTCTAAATACCGAGTCTGACAAGCATTATTACTATCTGGCACCGCGATGAATACGAGGTCGCAGGCATCAGAACTATGAGTCCAAAAAGCGGAACGTCCATGGTCTTAGCCGAAGTTTCATGACTTTAGTTTTAAATATTGATAATGCCATTCGTTCGAGCACTCATATTTAGAAATAGACATAATGACATGTATTTCTAGTTCGTTTCTCACTGTGTTGTTCATCGACAATTTCAGGTGGATGACCATAGTCACATAAATAATGGATTAGTAAGAATAGTCGGGACAAATTGTGAGCATCTCCTGTAACAGGTTGTGGCCGTCTGGGCGAGTCGCAGTAATCCAATGGGGTTGATGCAATAATATTTTACAGGCACGGGCAGCTTATCTGGGAGACGGCAACGGTTTGGATTTGATCGCAACTAAACTGGAAGCCATGAATTCATCGACAGTCAATGTTTGAAAGCAGCAGCATTGATCATAAGTTGCCTCTGCCTGTTTCCTGCTACCTATGTGCAAACAGCACCCTTTGCAGGCTGAATTCGAAGATTCAGTAGTGCGCTGAAGAGGACTGTTTCCAAGTAGCGCCATCGTTAGCTTGTGTCCGGCAATTTCGATTCCACCCGGTCGCACTCTGTACCAGTCCGTCGTCTATTATAATGTCTCAACCCCAAATGACTTTCTTCGACTTCCCTTTGACTCCCCCACCTTTGATCTCCCTTTGATCTTGATTTCCCTTTGACTTGCCGTCGAGTTCCCTTCAATATCCCTTCGACATCGCCATCGCCCCTTCCAATTCTCTGCTGCCAAAGCATAGCTCAGCACTATGGTACTTACACCAGATGACTCGTGTGGGATCCTAGGTCGACAGCAAATTACATTTAGTCACAACGAACATATGAAGTACCGACTTTGTTTCCCTAATATGTGACTTTTCCGACGACGCTTTAAGTACGGAGCTTCAGATGCACTTAATCCAGGGAGCATCTTGATAACAAGACTCAAGTAGCCCTTGTCATTCTCATAGCAACAGTACAGGCATTATCTATCCGGACGCTATCAGATATGAGTGTTCGGCACAGCTAGTCCAGTCTACTTAGGCTTTTTAAAGATGCATGGATCAGCCTTGTTCTTCTACCATACAGCTACAAAACTTTTAGAGGTATATGTGCCGAACGGCCTAGTATTTTCCTCACGAGCACACGATGAAGGCTTATGGGACTGCCACGTTGGACAATAGGATAACAAGGGCTATCTAAATTCGTTTAGTCCACCGGCCGCAGCTGAATAAGGAAATTACAGTGATCAGGCCGTAGGACGGGAGGAATGAAGCATTCGTAACATTTCATTACAGCTGATCTTGTCTGGAAGATGACTCTACAATGAATGGACAATGAATGGACGACGGGAAGAATGAAGGAGCAAAGAAATTGTAAATAGTCATCAGATATATAGTCAGATCATTGGATCCCACAGGGTGTTTTATCCCTACTCTCCCGCTCTCCTTCTCCTCCAAACTTCACTTTTAAGATCGATTGAAAACAGCTTCTTACCAGAGTTTTGTCCAGCATTTGAAACAGGACAGATGGCAGAACATCATCTCAACAGTGATAATCACTGTCATCGCTGCAGTCCGGAATACTTTTTGCCCCTTAAGAAGTGGGTTGAAAAGTGTGCAGTCTCAGGGAAGCCTGAGATGGCAAGAAAAGCTTGTCAGACCTATTGTGCTACCATCCGGAGATCGGAGCTCGTGGTAAGGGAAGCTTCCATAACGATCTGCCCTCACGGAGCACTACGAATGATCGGAGAAGATATTCCTCCCGTACTCGGAAGTCAGGATCTGGCTGATCGTGCTTTGTTCAGGAACGCGACCGTCATATATAATATATTAAAATGGTTCAATGTGGAGACAGCTCATCAGATCCTCTTCGATAAGGGAGACAATGATCTATACGGTGGCCCTTTGCTGGTGTTCAAAGATAAGGATTTCAACTGCCTTCGGAATGCAGAAGCTGTCGTGGACTTGATATGGGAAGATCATCGCACGGTAGAGTCGGTGGTATCCTCAATTAAATTGGATCAATGGGACGATCCCAATCACACCCAGGTGCATACTCGAGTTGAGTACATAGTTCGAGTGATATGCTAACCTGCAAATACAGTGACCTTGAATCCATCGACAACACGCTGAGATTGACGTCTGGTGATAATTTGTTGGGTGCTTCTAATGGTTCTAAGTACACACTGAGGAGACTTGCGCTGGCTGGAAGGAAGTTTGGAGAGGCTGAAGAGAAGACAACTCGTCGGAATCACACTTTTCTCTATGATCTCTTTTGGGCGCGTTGCTTCCAGTGGCAGCAGATTAGACTGGTGGAAGCCTGATACAACTTCCAATTTTTCGTTCAGTCCTTTAGTTTTAGTGTACTCTGTTAGTGTTAGTTAACATCAGATTGGTCAAGAACATTTGTTATTGGTGTTACTAAACTGGACGGAGCATGTCCGGCAGACAAATCAATGACGTAATGAAGCACATCACACAGCTGAGTCAGCATTCTGAATAACTAACTAACTAACTCATGTTGCTTTGGCCGCATATCAAGGAATGACTTTTTTTTGAGGCCTCAATCTTTTGGCATCAGACAAAAAACTCTCAACTCTTTCCACAACGTGTCGCTCGTAGATAGCCAAGTCCACGTTGATATCATTTATAGATAATGGTTAGTCAGAAAAAGTCAGAACAAAAAACTCATAGACTGTGGTCAGGAGAGCTATGGCCCTCATGGTTACTTAGCCTTACAGGCCGCCAATTAACAGATTGAAGGCAATGGCAGACTCAAAGCTGTGGACGTACGTCCAAAGTGGATCCACATCCACTGCCACCAAACCGTAGCCTCGAATCAACTGTTCTAGGTCTCGGGGCCTAAAGCTAAAGCCTTCCCACCACAGCTTCCCGACCGCGGACGTCCATCTCCAGACTCGGAGCGCGCCTGAACACGGTTCCACAGATCTAGAGCTTGACTGGCCGAAAAGCACAGAATATGCGTATCTCCAGGCCCAGACCACGCCAAGTCAGAAAACGCTATTCCTCAATCTCTCGAAGGCCCAGGCACCCAAATTATGACAGTCGAATTATCGTAAATCCCGTCTAGCCTCTTTATTCTCGGAGAATATCCAATGGAGCCCTTTAAAGCCCTCATTTGAGATATACTCAAAACCCCTCCAAGCGATTATATTAAGAAGTAGTGATGGAAAACGGGCGCCGGCCTTCACCTTCAAATCAATCTCTACCGCTCGGATGAACCCCAAATAGCCTATGCTCGCTAGCCGTAATGATGGCAGCTACAGCACTGGACGCTTCAGTGGATAACATCATCATTGGCTTGTGTGTTGGTGTCGGCCACTCCCAATCTTTTAGCTGTATCTGCTCGAATTTCCCCTGCCCGTACAACAGCAACACCTGTGGCTATTCGTGAACAAACTCGGACCTATCGAAAATCAACAGGCCGGCTGTCCCAATCATCGTAAGCACACGATTGAGTTAAACGGCTACGCGTGATGCATCTCTGGGCTCATATTCCTAGGTGTCTTGATTGTTTGCTCTATAATAGTAGACACTAAGCATGAGCAATTCTAGGTATAGGTGAGCCGTAGACAGAACAGCAGGCGAGTTTAAGGCGCGGGCAACGAGAGCCACCAGACAAGGGTAACACCGGGCACGGGCGAGCCACAGGCAGTGAATGTCAGCAGGCTTAAATGGATGCGAGCAGAGTAAACCTCCAGGCAATAGTAACACCGCGCATGGGTGAGCCGCAGGCAGTGAATGTCAGCAGGCCTAAATGACTGCGAGCAGAGTAAACCACCAGACAGGGAGACAGCCGGTAAGCAGACAGCAGGCAAGACCGGACACCAGGCAAGACCGGACACCAGGCAAGACGGACACCAGGCAAGACCGGACACCAGGCAAGACCGGACACCAGGCAAGATCGGACACCAGGCAAGACTGAACACCAGGCAAGACCGGACACCAGGCAAGACCGGGACACCAGGCAAGACCGGATACCAGGCAAGACGGATACCAAGCAAAGACCGGACACGGGGCGAGCCCAGGCCGCCAGCGATGAGAGCCACAAGACGAGGGTGACACCGGGCACGGGTGAGCTGCAGGCGGTGAGTTTCGGTGGACCTGGGTGTTTGCGAGCAGAGTAAGCCACCAAGCAAAAGAAGCACCAGGCATGGTGACTCGCTCTCGCTCCAGTGATAAGTCGAGCGATTCTTCTCCATGGATTGCAATTGGACTAACTTACAAGTCCCAATATTGTGTAGTAACATTATCGACAAGATTCTCTTCTATCCGGAGACAGGAGCTTTAGTTGAACTACAAGTGCAGTTACCCGTCTCGGTGCGTCCTCGGGAACACCAGTTCAGCCGCTCAATAGTTATGACGGCTTTTTTTTTTGGCTTTATGTTTGCGGCCGTACACAGTATCGTTCTGAGCACTCCCGCTCCTGAAACAATACACTTAAATTGATGGAGTTGACTTCAATAATGCAACAATGTATCAGGGACATAGAATGATTGACAGGAATAATAGCTGTGGTAAATTACAAGATGTTCGATTCTGATCGGTCATAATCCGCGTAGACTACCTAGTGGAAATGGGAGTAAAGTGTGTCACATCACGAAGAGGGATACGGAGACTTCACGCTGCAACAAGCCTTCCCATTCTTTCTTTTCGCTCGAAACACGATGGATCAGCAACTCATACAATCTCTATTTGCAAGCATTACAACGCCACCCTCTGTTTCAACTGATATCAAAAGTCGAAACCTTGAATAAACCAATATCTTCTCGGGCTAATCAACAGTCCAACTCGGGCAAAAGATGAACACAACCAAGAACAGTCAGCAGATTCAAGTAGACAGCTTTGCCGCTCAACACACGAAACATGACTGTTTTAGGGTAGACTTTTGATTTAGGCGATTGAACACGATCGGTTGTGTTGAGAAATTGTATTCTTTCTCTATTCACGGTTCAAATGTTCAAGCCAACGTGTGCAACCAGTGCTTTCTATTCACGGGGCAGAGCAACTTATTTTCTCATTATCATGCCGAATCTATCACTGTTATACTTCGGTCAAATACCTTTGTTCAACACAAGCGTTGCATTATTCGAACACTTCAACCGCGTTGCAAAAACTCTAAACCAACGATAGAACCAATTCGCTCTTGATACTAAAAACTCGTGTGAGTTATACGTCAGATCCTTATAAAAGGAGTTTTGTAAGTGTGGACAAGGAATCAAATCGCAAGTTCAGGTCCATCTTTTTTTTGTGACAATGTCAGAGGACAACGAAACTAAGCTACCCAAGGTTCCCAATTCACCAAAGAAAGTGGTGCGACAGAAACGAGACCGGCGGAAGAAAAGCCTGATACATAAGGCCTATGAATACAGTAAGCTGTGCGACGCTGACATATGCCTCGGCATTCGGCTTCGAGATTCCGGGCAAGTTACGACGTTCCAGGCTGATCCGACTGGGTTTTGGTCGGGATTTTCATCTCATTTGGTAAGTGGTTTCCATCGTGGTTTCCATCGTGAGCTTACTAATACCAGCTAGGAGAGACATTACCCCCGGCCGGTACAGAAAACAGACAAGGATTTTGACGATCTCGCTGCTGGTGAAAGTGCTGGTGAAAGTGCTGGTGAAGAGGACAAGATCAGACCACTAGAAGACAAGGCCGTGCTTTAGTTAATGCGGGGATAGAGGGAGATACTGGCCTGTCAGCTCTCTTGAAACACTATCCTCTTCGTTTCGAATTTGAAGGAAGCTATCATTTCCCAGGTAATTGCGCGAGCACATAACCTGTACGTCAGCCTCCCTTGCAATGGCTACAATCCAGGATTGACACTTTCAATAAGCGCAGTGCTAGATCACAGCCGACGACCTCTTGAGTCAGGAAGTGAGTAAAGCTGGACTGAGCTCCCAGTTGCGCTTGATAAAGATTAATCGTCATTTTTCTTCCTCGCTTTTGTATTAATAGCAATTCCAGGCACAATTGATGATAATGCCTTACTTTCTTCTTGGACATGCGAATCTGTAGTATTTCAGCGCCATAAAGGCATGTCATAGTACATATTATACAAGTTATTTCATGCTCTACATTTGATCATGATTCCGACGCCGGAGGTAGGGCGGTGGCTACATAAACAAGCATCACCTCCAAAATACTCTTCAGCATTGTTCAATGACGGCTGAAAACAGTGTGATGGGGCATAGCTATCGGACTTGAATGTCTAGTTCGGCGACAGCTACGATGACAACCCCCAACTAGTGTGTACAGAGGGGCAAAAATCACAAGTTCAAAAATTACAGATCCTGGTACGATGAATGGGAGCATAATCCCCTTAGACTAATTTCTCAGGTGGAAATTCTTCGTCGACCGTATTAAACAGCAATCGCGTGTCAGAAGAAGACACCTTGACTTAGATGACTCATCACACATTGTGCGGAACCCGTCTTCAGAGTGGCACGTTTGCGCGTTCGTGTGACCCAGGACTCACATCATTTATCCTCCAGTTCGTGCCAAATTCCGAAACCACAAAGACATAGAGGTACTAGACAATATAAGGTGGGCTATGATTTCCTTCGAGTCGACATCTTATAATCCAGCTAACGTTACGCGTCATTTCTAGTCTCCCTGCCTACTTCTGAGACCCCCGGGTTCAGACTGGTAAAGCACTCGAACGTCATTTGCTTCAAGTGCTTTGAACCTTCCATTCCAGTCAAGCCACCATGAATATCTCGCCCTCATCCATATATGTCATCCAGTCGGTCACGTTACGCTCGGCCGACACTGGGTCATTTCTGAAGTGCAGAAGGTAATTCTGGAGCATCGCAGCGCTGTACGTATTCGGCTTAACCTTGGCAGCGAACGATTCCGACAATCGAACAATATCCTTCAGCGACCAACTTGAGAAGGCTGGTTCCAAAGAACAACAAATCTTCATATCATGGGGATCGACAATATAAAGGTGGTGGTCTGAAGGCCTCACAAAGAATGTTAGGAATTGTTCTTTGATATCTCTGCGGGTAGCAAAGTGGAAGGGAAAGACTCGGTCCACCCGGCCTGGGCGTTGGAGGGCCTTGTCAAGAGACCCTGGGTCGTTTGTGGTCATGATCAAGATTCGCCCTTCCTGGGCAGAGACACCGTCGATGATATTGAGGATTTCTGAGAGGCTTAGGCCACCCTGCGAACGGTCAGAGGAATCTGGATATTCATGGCTTCTATCATCGTCTGACGCATCTTCAACCTGGGAGAGAGACTCGCTGATATTGCGGTTCTCTATGCCGGCCTGATCCATATCCTCGAAAAGGACGAGACATTTCTCCGGTAGAGATAAAAACAAGCGGGTGAGGCTGTCACCGTCGACATTTTTTGAGTTGAGACTGACTGTGCAGATTTCGAGGCCTATCAGACTAGCAATAGCGAGGCACAGGCTTGATTTGCCAGTACCCGGTGGGCCGTGAAAAAGATACCCCCTTCGATATGGAATGCCACGTTTCTGGTACCAGGAACGAGTACGCGGATGGAGGAAGTCTGTCAGATCGTCGACAAGCGCATTCTTGATAAGTGGATCTATAATGATAGTCGAGAGGGGCCTTGGCATCTTAGATGGCAAACTCATCCACTGTCGTGCTGGTCCATCCTTGAGCCCCTGGCTTATGCGTACGCGGTTGTTGTTCGTCTCTATGTTGGCCCCCTGTATCTCCTGCAAGAGCTTTCGAAGGGCATGCTGACTCCAAGCATATAGATATAGCTTCTCCCGGTGATCAGTCCAAGGGCTGCCAGCTTCCTTGTACGGTTGACGACAGAAACCGAATAGAGTACCTCGATATCGGAAGAAGTGAATACCAGGAGGTGCAGGTGTGTAGCGAATAGGTTGAATCGTCTTCAGTTCCCTAATCTTGATCCAAAATTCCCGTTCGTCCTTCTCGAACTGGACAACCTCTTCCTCAGAAAGTTCCTTTTGCCGTTCGGTCTTTTGATCATCCTTGTCCCATGGAGAGACAAAGCTGACCTCGGTTCCTGCAATTGAGTCTTGTACTGTGCTCAATTCTGGCAACTGCGAGACCCAGCACATCACGTCCTTGTATAAAGCGTCGTGATATCTGATTTGAACTGAGGATGCAAAGGGAAGAAGAAAGTGATAAGGGCGGGTCCAGAATACCGGGAAAAAATACATGCAGGCCACGAAAAGAGCCACGGATGCAAGGAGAAAGATCGAGGCATTTGCATGGAGGTGAATTTTGACAAGACGAGCAAAGAAGCTGTAGCCGGGTAGAAGACTTTCAAGCAGGGCCTCAGGCGCTTCTAAAAGAGATACAATTTCCGTTGGATTCATGATTGATAGGGTTGGAAGAAAGAAGCGTTGAAGATGCGGTTTAGTCGATAATATATGATCAAGCAATTGGTTCAATCTATGTGCACGGTCGTAGCAGGTTGCGGGTTGGCAGGCCTACCAAATTGAGTACAGGGTAATCTTGATTCTGTTTTTATACAGTATCCGATGGTCCGTAATGTCAAATTACCTTGCTTGCGTAAACACTGCAGGACAAGATCGTTTCCTGCTTCTCATAGGGACATTTGTCCAGCTACAATGCCTTTATTCCGAAGGGCACTGCTGCATACCAATCAAGCGATCTTGCATACACAAATTAAGTTTTACTGTATGCATGCTGTCTGTAAGCCGCAGTATTCTAGTTAAGTCCGATCTACTGACTCGCTTTAGAACGGGGTGGATCGAAAACCAGGCTACTGCAATATTCGTTACGGTATTGTTCTGTTAAGCGCGAAAAACTACTTCCAGATTCGTAGTTATCACAAAGTACAGCCTTTTCGCATGATCCACAAACACCAAAGACAATTTTCGTGTCCGCACTGGCGACAACAGCGTCCAGAGGGACCGTCTCCTCTTACTCCCTTCTCACAGACAAAGCAAAATATCAGGCTTATAGCGCGCATTCGAGGATGTCGACGAACAACTTTGTTTCCTGGGGCTGTTCTTCCGCAGTACATCTCCTGGAAACCAGGTTAGTATTTGCAAATTCTCGCCAGGCTGTTCTGTCTTACCTGTTCATTTAACAAGATTTGACTTGGAGGCATCGTTTCTCTTCCTGTTTATTCCCTGGGGCTTTCTCTTATCAATGTGAAGATTCACTTCAAGAATCTGTTTGTGCTATTGATGAAGAGCTTACTAGAAATATGGAAGCGAGTACCGGGCTTCAGCAGCTTCACCTCGACATAGGTAGGAGAGAAGAGACACAACAAGGAAGATAAACCAACAGCACAATATAGCTAGGGCAAGCAACATACTCGAACAGAACTTTTGCTAAGAATATTATTGATTGCGAATGAATGAACCCGATAGCTTGACTCTTTATAGATCATGCAAGACACTGTATAATTCCCGACAAAAGCAAGCACCATTATACTTTTCAAAAAAAAAGGGGTGAAGACTATCAGCGACTAGGTACATGGCATCTACATATGCAATCTGAGTTTGATCCTTGCTCAGACTGACAAATCAAGAGCCCATCACTTGGTTTCACCCTGAGGATCCTCCAGGCTGACTCTGGTACCATAGACCGGGCGTTATCAAGATTAAGCTGCAGTATAGATTGATCGAGTGGTTCGAGATTTCCGGCTTGAACGTTGAGAGGACAGGAAATAATATGACTCTTCCCAGGGCTTTTTCGAAGGCGAGCTGAAAATAGCAAGTATGGCCCATACTCGTTTATGACAAGTCCGCGATAGGCTTCAAAAAAGGATATACCGAATTCGGTTTCGGCTTTGACAACGTTAAGGAGTTTTCTTCCATCTTGTAAGGATGTCTGAATCATTGGATCGATATTTGCATACCCAGATGCAGTTGTGATTGTAGGTTCAATTCTCCTTGACGTGGTTTTAGTGGTTGGTCGAGCGAGGCAGGGTTTCAAGATTGCAAAAAAGCTTAAGCAGAACATATTGGACGGTCGACAAAGACTGTAAGATCACATCTGAAAACTGCATGCGCGATTCAACTTTCTAGGAGTTGCGGTGAGCATGGAGAATCCCGGCTTTAAGAACTGACTGGTATTTCCTTCATGTGGGCTTCTTTATCGCGGCTTTCGGCAATGGTGATGAGAGCGTTACACTATGCGGCCCTGTACAGGAGTAAATTATTCTTCAATTTGATGTTTTGGAGATACTATTGAGGAATAACCCGAAAAGTCAATACAGCCGTTATGCTAAAGTGCGAAGGCTGGACGCGGCACCGTAGTTCCAGGAAGCATGCATATAGATGGCTTATGTTTTAGTACTAGGTTTTGACTCGGTAGAACTCAGAGCTGCAGTTGCCAATCAGAAGACGTAGGAAAGATGATTGACGATGATGAGGAGGAGGAGGAGGAGGAGGAGGGGGGGGGAATCATGCATTGCCTACTAGTTCGCTGGACATTAGGACGGTTTTGGTTAAGAACGCACCAATACATAAAAACCCCCAGAAGCGTAGTTTCTGTTTAGGTCCTAGAAATTTGGGTACGAGATGAACTTGTTTAAAATGCCAAGAACCGGTGCTGTGCGTGAATTGGTGCTGTGCGTAAACCGGTGCTGTGCATAAACCGGTGCTGTGCGTAAACCGGTGCTGTGCATAAACCGGTGCTGTGCATAAACCGGTGCTGTGGTGTAAGCCGGTGCTGTGCGTAAACCGGTGCTGTGGTGTAAACCGGTGCTGTGCGTAAACCGGTGCTGCTGCTAATCTGTCCTTTCTGGCTTAAGAACAGTTGAAAAGACTACGATGACAATTTTCTTTTTCAATCTCTATTACCAAGAATTAGTGTCGTACATTGCACAAGTTTATTGTACACTGGCAGGTGTCTTGTGTTGGATTCTCACTTGTTAGTAAAAGTTGGGTTAGGATTTAATCAGACATAACTGCCCCGCTTCACTTATGCCCAAGGTCTCCCTAGAGAGTAGATAATCACATGACTCATTCACCTCTCTTGCCCCTCCAGCGGGGCAGGATGTCAATCGCGCATCAAACGGCCACGTACCAACCACAGAGTAGTCGACAACAAGCGTTAATCCAGAGGCACTTTACAATACTCCAAGCGTGTAAGGGACTATCGATAATCGCAGCAATACTTGGAAGGTCTTATCTACGAACATCAACAATCAAGACGGAAAATGGCAGCGAGCGTACCTAGCAAGTCCCATCTTAACCTAGAAAAAATCAGCGATCCTCTAACCGAAAACTTACTGGCCAAGCTGGCTTCATGGTGTGAGACTGCCAATTTTGCTCAAGAAGGAGAAAACTTGGAAAAATGTGTTGATGGGAAACTTGCGAGCGTTTGTCGGCAGCTACTCGATACGCTGGACCTTGAAGAAAAGGTATGAAATTTCTTACATTATATTAAACAAATCTGACTTAGCAAGATAAAAAATCGTCGCTGGGGCTATACAGTACTACGAACCGGACCTGGTCCAGCTCGGTTTCACAACACAGCCGGCCCAGCGTACCTTCTTCCCATTCGCATAATAACGGGTTCTCCCACCGTGTCAGGGCTGCAATTACAACCGGGTTGGATACTTTATATAACACACGAAATTGAAGTTGGACCTGGGCTGGATGGGCTTTTCATCGCCGAATTATGACCAACCCAATGCACTGCGATACCAACACTTAGGAACTTCCGAGATCTGCACACGTTCGATTGACCATATGTTCATCACATGTACCCGCGAAAAATGGGTTGTCGCAAGGAAATTGCTTCGCAGGCGGTTGAGCTGCCGGGAAAGGTTCACTAGAAGGGTATACTAAGGTTGCTAAGTCAAAGGCGATCGATGTCGGCATATCGCTATGAGCAGGGTCCAAGTTTGAAATATCGAAGGGTTGAGCCGGAGTCGCAAAGAAGCTGTTGTCATCCATAACTGCAAGCTCAACACTTGAAGCTATAATGGGATCGTACACTTGCCTTTGAACAAGGCTTGATAAATCAAAACTTGGCACAGGCTCCGATGTCGTATTTTTTTCATGTGCCTCCACGAGTGTTGAAAGGTCGAACCTTTCAACAGAGTCAATCCTTTCCAGTGTAGCGCTTGGTTCAAGGAATCCATTTTCCGGAATTGTTGAGGAGTTGGATGTCTTCGACGAATGCGTGACGTCCTCCATGTTCTCGTCTGCATATATGGTGAGATACTTCAGCGGCACCACCATTGGGCTCACTAACTGGAATATCCATCTTCAAGACCTCCGGTCGCAGTGGCCCGTTGGATTTCTTGAATGGGTTGGGTTATTTTGAAAGAGTAAGATGCTAACTCCGTCAGGTCTGTGGCCTGAATTGCTTAGATGAAGTTTGCTCACATAGTATCCCATCTTCAATGCATTCCAGTCCCCGCGCTCGACATCGATTTTTTGATAAATGCTCAGCCACATTGCGTTGCTGCCGGAATTTTTTATGACACTGTGGGCAAGGGTACCTTTTCAGATCGTCTGGATGAAAGTCTTTGTCAGTCGTTTTGATGAATACGGATAAAGGGGCACGCACGCGTTTGCACATGTCTTTTGTGCGCAAATGATCTGGCAAATCGGCGAGAGCAGATATCGCAGATATATCTTACATTGGCATCTTTTCGTGCAGCTGGAAATAGGCGTGTGTAGCTCTCTGAATGCCGCTTACAGCGGCTACTGAATTCCCATAAGTGTTCACGGAGACAATCTTTCGATCGTGCACCATAGTATCGTCGTTGGCAGCACGATACTGGGCATTCCAAAGGTATACTCTCAGCACTCATGACCCTGGAGGAAGTCTCTGAAAGATATTCAGATAGCGTACTGGATCAATGGGATACAGTCGCAGGTGGAAATAGTGACTGTAAGGATGTCAAAACGGTGTTGGTGCGGGGTTCCGCGGCAGTACTGCACGTGATTTTGGTTAATCTCCAGACTGGTTTGACGGTCACACAGCACCGGTTTTTAGCAAGGATAGCGTCTTAGCACTGACTTACTATGAATACATCTTATTTGGGGATGTGTGACCGGTGCTGTGAGGTCTTGGAGAACTAATCATATCTAAGCTTGGCGCGCTTCTGCGTTTATCCTAGGGTGCAAGCGTAACATCAGCGAAAGCTTCGACTTTGTTCATGATACTGGACATCTTACATCCTGCGCAAAGGAGCACTTGTATCTGCTAAAATACCGCTAAGTGCTGCGAGCTGCAGGTGATATCACAGCAAGTGCACCCTCTGCTTCCCACTCGTCATTCAATAGATACTTACATTGCAATGTCCTTGTAGGGGGAAATGCCTCGACGTATCAGCTATATAAGAGTTTTCATTTGTCCTCATTATTTTCTATGTACACTCCAATCGTGTCTTTTCCCATGCCAATTTCCTTCCGCAACACAGAACCAGACTCAATATTTACTTTCATCTTTCCAGTTCTACCATTCGACAATGTCACGCCGAGCATGGAACAGTGTGATGGAAGCGATCACAGGCCGGGGTTCCAAAGTCTGGGAGAAACTTGCTAAACCGACAGTCGGGAGAGGCCAAAACTCAATGGCCGAAATCAGCAAGTGATTTGGAAAATCACGGTGTCCGCTTCGATTATGATGGCACTATTGAAGAGAACGGCCATGTGTACCACAAATACCAGGTCCAGCCGAATGCTGGAAAGATTCCCAGTTCATGGAAAGACTGGAGAGATAAGAATGGGGGGACTCATGCCGTCATCGGAACCGTTAAAGTCAAGCAAGATGCGACAAAAGACGACGTTGATGAGGCACTCAAGTCACTTGAGGAACAGCTTTGAAGGCACTGTGAGTCATCAGTTCCTCAAGTCTAACTGACTGAAATTAATTATGGTCTTTGAAGTCTGGCACTGATACAAAATGGCAGTCATTGTTCTCGGCGATTGTCGAAAGCTAGAATTGTGGGTTTACGATTGATAAGGAGATTCGAGTATCTGAGCGGGGTTGGTATGATGGGCATTTGAATGTATCCACTCTTTGGCCTAGCCTTATAACTATTTTGAGATTGTATGGGTTTTCTTCCCGATGTAGCCAAACAACATATGTAAAATATGGAGACAAACGGGTCAAAACAGGCAAGGGACTAGATTGCCAATGTCGGCCGGCCCACATCAATCAGCCATCAGACAGACGACATGCGGAAACATGTTTTTCCGACACGGAATAATTTCCCTTAAATTGGCCCTGTGCAACGGACCCCCAAACCAAGTCTATTCATCAAGCGGATCATATCCCTCGATGCTCCTTTTTCATGTCGCTTTCTCATCTGACAGCTAAAAGCTCCAATATGAAGAAATGTTCTGTCAACACGCGAAAATTTCTGGGCTCTTTACGGCCTCAAACTTTTCGCTTTCACAAGCTTGGGAACCAACAGCATGCGAACGCCTCGACGAGATGTGGGCGAAAATCAAGTGTCACACTCCATGATGAATTCTTCCGGTACACTTCAGGGAGATGGATGTAAGTGCTGAGATACTAGGCTTCTTGCAAAAAACTGACGTTCTAAAGATTCAATGAACATCTTCGTCTATCAGAACGATTCCTTGAGTTTGACGTTTCTGCACTTCAGGATGTCATTTCTGCTGCATCCGGCCGTTTGAAATCCGATCTGAAAACCTTTGTTAAGCTGTCAGAAGGCGGATTCAACCGCGTGTTCGAGGCCACTTTCAGCGATGGAAAGTGTGTTATTGCGCGACTTCCATATCCAAGCACAGTACCAGAACACTATACTGTAGCGAGCGAAGCGGCAACGTTAGACTATCTTCGCCTACATGGTATTCGCACACCAGTGGTTTATGGGTGGTGTTCGACAAAGGCGAATCCCGTTGGAACAGAATATATCATTATGGAAAAGCTGGAGGGTACCCCACTCGGCGACAAATGGTTCTTAATGACACCAAAGGAACAACATAAGGTCATGAAGCAGATAATCGAATGGGAAAAGCAATTGATGTCACTGCAGTTTCCTGCGTCTGGAAGTCTTTATTATACCAGAGACCTTTCATCGGAGAGCAGGATACAACTCGCGGATCCCAATGACAGAGCATTCTGCATAGGACCGACAGCTCATTATAGCTGGTGGCATGACAAAAGGGACTTACTGAATATCGATAGAGGACCTTGTGAGTGAATAGTCTTCAAGAACTGTACTGTTGACAATACTGACTACGAAAGGGTTGTCATCAATTGACATTTTCCGAGCAGCTGGCGAACGTGAATTAGCTTGGACCAAAGCCTATGCAAAACCTCGCTTGCCCTATGACCGGCTCTATAGAGAGATCTATCATTTCAAGCACGTATCACCTGATAGCCATATCACCGACCTTACCAACTATCTTCAAATGGCACGCTGCTTAGGGTATGCAGACAACTCAACTATGAATCGACCTGTTATGCGCCACCCTGATTTTCAACCAAACAATATTCTTGTGTCTGAGACAAATGATATTATCGGACTTATAGATTGGCAGCATTGTTCTATTTTTCCTCTAGGTATCGTTGCGGGCATACCAACTCATTTCCAGAATTATGGCGATCCCGAGTCGGAGATGCTGAAACAGCCCGAGCTTACACTCCCACCAAATTATGACTCTTTACCTTCACCCGAGCAAGCATCTTTATTAGAGATCCGACGGAAAAGGCTGGTACATTTTCTTTATGCCGCGTTTACCAAAAGGCTAAATAAGGATCATTATGACGCCATCTTCGACCAGTCTGTCATTCTTCGTCAACGGCTATTCAAGTACGCTGGTACACCCTGGGAGGGAGACTCAATATCGCTGCGAGCAGAACTCATTCGCTCTATACAGAATTGGTCGATAATTGCGCAGACTACCGGTGCAGAGCAAATTCAGAGTGCTTGCTCGGTTGCTCCGGTGGGTTATTCAGAGGAGACTATCCAGGAAACACTGAACTTAGATGCTCGCCAAAAAGAAGCTGATATTGCGATCCAAGAAATGAGGAATATCTTAGAGGTTGATGTTCTAGGTTGGGTTCCAAATGATGATTATGATGCTGTTAAAGGAATGGCTCATGATATGAAGACCAGAATGCTTGAAGCGGCTGAGACTCCTGAAGATGTTATCGGTGTTCGAGATCATTTTCCGTTTGATGACTTCGATGAAGTGGCTTGAGGCATTGAAAGGATTCTTTAGGTGTTCATGTCATTTTGACGACAATACTTCTGTTCGCGACGGCATTAGCACGCTCAACTTGCCATATTTTTTATCATTCGGAGCAGTGTAGAATCACCACTTTCACAGCAGTATAATGCCAGTATTGTTATGCTATAGTCTTTGATTGCCTCCTACGTCTCCTTGAAAGACAATTAATCCTACCATTTCCATACCTTCATAGTCTCTTCACGGCAGTCACTAGCCCTAATGAAATCCAGCTTCGATTCTCATCTGATGAGGAAGACCGAGAAAATAGATCCGAGGAGATTGAGAACATATTGCATCCCAAGGTATTCAGAACTGCCGGAGTTACCTACATGGTGAATAGCGGCACAATTATCAAGGAATAAAATGATGTACATCAACTTGCAGCACTTTCACGCAATCGATACAAGTGAAACTGAATCACCGAGCGAAAATTGTAGCGCAGAAAGCCAGGAATAATGCAAGCCATTTGCCATACTTGCGCTTGTCCTGGTCAAGTGTTTGGAAAAGCGGGCTGTGCTACGGCCGCAATTCCAATTAGCAGGGGTGGAGGAAGGGGCCACGTCAGCCAACCTGAGAAAGACCTCGAAATCGAGATTAGAATGGGGGGTCTTGTCGCAAAGAAGAGAGGGTTGTATTATGAGGCACTTACGCTTGACGTATAAACCTAGGCGCCGGGCATCCGGCGCTGAAATCGTTTGCCTGCATAACACTCTAGTTATCGAGATAGGAGGTGCGTCGTCAAAGGTTAAGACAACAAAACAACAAAAGGATCCAGAGACCAAAAGACCCTACCTCTATTTGTGGCTGGAATGGCCGACTATGTCTTGAATGATGTCTCCTTGCCTTTAACAGCTCCATAATGATTGAAAGAAAGACTCCCAGCAGCATTAGACGATTCCAAATAATATTCGTAGTATTCTCTCTTGCATACACTAAGAGCCATTCACGAATCCAGACCCTCTCTTATCAAGGTCTCCGCCCTCTTCAAGATCAATCTCTTGCCTTATGCCGTAACTTAGTCGAATAGTGGACTTGCAGGGATGAGACAGTTCGGTCAGGAAAATAGTCCGCAATCTCAACCCATGACATTGCTTCTCTTTCTTTCAGCCGAACCAACAGCGCATTCTCATCGGATGTGTATGGCCTTTGTTTTCCAGAAACTCCCCCCGGATGCGCCTGGTGCGACGCCGAACTCGTGTCAGGCACAAAGGTGAAATAATACGCAGGTTTCACGCCAGAATCTGATACAACTGTGAGCAGGGCGTTTCCGCGAATCCCGTGGATATCACGGGTACAATGGCACGAAGCGGGAATTGAACCTTCCGAAGGGCGAGAGACACGCCTAAGAGCAGGCGTCCGGGTCTTCTTCATCTTCGAAATCGAGCCTTCAGTGCGACGGGAAAATGCATCTGGACTATTGCGATTGATGGAGGCTTGGCCTGAGCGAAGTCGCTTGTTGCATGCTGCCGCAGCGGCCCTTGTGCTTGCCCTGGTGGCTCTTCGCTGCTTCCATGAAGGCGCGGGTACAACCACAGCTACTGACGGATAGCGTAACGGGCCGTTGTACACTCGGGTTGTTCTAGCACCAGAATTTTCCGGACTAGGGCACTGGTTGGAGCAATTCGAGCGAGAAGAGAGGCCAGATGTATCTGACTTGGCTTCAGCCCTACTGGAACTAACAGCCCGCCCCGAAGCATCTATTGCACTGGTGCATAAAACATCACTTAGTTCGGGTGACTGGGACTGGTTCGTGATCATTCCACCATTTATGGGGCCGCTGTACTCTGAAAGAGCCCGTGTGATCGACGAGCTTTCCTGCACGGATTCTCGATGGCAATCATAAGTTGTGGATAGGCTGCTAGTGGCATTGCCCGCTTGTCTGGATGCAGGCGCGGTGACACAGGGAGCGCGTAGATATTCAGCTATTTCCGCACCTTTGCTATAAGACACGAAATCTGGAGCATGTCAGAAAAAAGAGGGGTTATTCATGATACTATCGAGTATTATACCAACTTACTTGGCAAGCCATTCTCCTGTAAATCGAGAGAAACATGATCCAATTGGTCTGGGCGGCAGGGTATTGGTGTCGCCGAGGTATCTTCGAATAGCACTGGCTCGGATGAAGCTAGGCAAGAGCCTCTATTATCCGACTGAATATCAAGAGTGGCTGGGATGATTGGTGCGATAGAGGATTCGGTATCTTTCGTCGTTCGATGCTCAGTAACGCCATAGAGCCTATCAATCTCAAAGTCAAATGTATTCCATAGATAAGCGGTCCCGCTAGATGGCCGGTCCTTTCTTGAATTCGCCTGGGGCGGTCCTGGGACTATCTCAGTGGAAGAAAAATGCTGGAAGGTCTGTGGAATGTGTGTTGGGGGTGACTTCCTCCGATTGTTGCAGGGCGGCTGGCTTGGACCATTGTAGAACTCGATCTGGTCAAGATTCACTCTCATTTTGTACAATATACAGACAAGACACGGGAAGGATAAATCATAGTAGTTTAGAGCGCGGTAGGTTGGAGTCAAACAGTAGAGAATTGATTGAAACGCTACCCAGTCGTAACTTGGGATCCAGAAGATGGAAGAGACATAAAATAAGAGGTCTACCATACCTTTATAAGACTGAGATGACATGTGAGTACGATAGTATGATACTCGGCCGCGCAGCTTCTGGTAGGCTTCGTACTACCGGAGGCATGCGTTGTCTGCGCCTTATCGAATCGGCTCCGCTTGTGTCAGGCGCAGAAGCGGGAATGGGTCCGATAGTAATTTGAACGCCTATAGGAAGGCTTCAGACTTTTACTACCCAGATTGGAAAAATCCTTTTTTTTTTCTTTTGGGAAAATTAAGGAAGGGCGCATCCTCCGAGACAGCAAGTCATACGACAGGTTTGGCCTGTTGTTTGCAGGCCACGCAGGTCACTCGGGCATGCCTAGTTCAAATTCTCCCGTTCAGCCCCAGGGCGGTTTGAGGCATTTTTGCGGTTGGTCAGTAAGTCAGAAGCTGAGCTACTGAGCGATTGACTGCGCTGCTTGACGGATATGTCCGGTAGAACTCGAGCTAGGTTTGCGGAACGATACGAGATCAGGAGCACTGCGTTGCCCTGGCGATTAGACAAAAGGCAGAGCTAAAGTACTGAGTCCCACAACGACAGCACTTGTCTTAATTTCAAACAGCATGTCAATTTCTTCTCATCAGGAATGGCCGAGAAAGTAGACTCGAGGGAATGGGGAACATATCGCATCCCAATGTGATCAGAACTGCCGGTGTTCTATCGTATAATCAACAATGACAAAACCACCAAGGGATGAACTGATAAACATCTGACCACAGCACTTTCACATATCCAGTGCGGGTGAAACTGGATAGCCGAGCGAAAATGTAGCACAGAAGCCAAGGACATTGCGTGCTATTCGCCATTAATTTTGGGCTTGTCCTGGTCGTTCTGGTCAAGTGCTTGGAGAAAGCGGGCTGTGCTAAAGCCGTAGCGTAGAAACTTCTGCGACTAGCAGGGGGCGAAGCAAGAGGCCACGTCAGCCGATCCGAGTAAGACCTGAGAAGTGAGATTAGGAAGGGAGATGATGTTGCAAGATGAGGGTTTCCGTCGAGCGACGCACCCCCGCTTTATATACATGGCAGACGTTGTGCGGTGGGCGGTAGAAGAAGGCAGTTCCTGATCAGGACTAGCGGATAGTGCTAAGCCTGTTACGGACAGGCTAAACCGCGAACAGCCGGCGCGATGCCGTAACAAGCGCGGGCAACGCAGGCGCTAAACCTAGAGAAGCGGGCGCCGAAAACGGCCGCGCTCCAGCAAATCGCAGTTTTACTTTTTAGTTAATTATTAATTAAAAATATCTAGTTATTTCTAGTAGTGCTTTAGTAGCTTATTTTTTAAATTAATATATTTTTTCAATTACAGTATTTTTTTATTTACAGTATTTTTTTAATATTATCTAATATAATCTTTCTAATCTGTAGTTAATTTAATATTAATTTATTATTTAAAAGATAATAAATAACTAGTTTTATAATTTATTTAATATATAATACTTTAAATCTTTTACATTTAATTAATTAATCTATATAATTTTAATATTTTATTTATTCTCTTATCTTTATAAAGATATTTAAATATCTTTTTTAAATAAAATATTATTTATTTACTTTATATAGTTATAGATCTCTGAGAATTATATTATTTTCTTAAGATTTAATAATATATATAAATATACAGTTTTATTAGTAGTTATATATCCTAAAATTAAAATATATAATTTTAATAATTTAATCCTGATTTACTACTACTCTATTAAGGATTTATAAAGATATTTTAATATATAAAAAATTAAATACTTAAACTAATAATTTATTTACTATTATATAATAGTAATAACTATTATTAATTAAAGTTTACATAAACTAGATTCTATTTATTCTAGTATTAACTAGAAATAGTAATATTTTATTTTTTAATAATTTTTTAATTTCTTCTTATTTCTATTTACAGCTTAGAATAGAAGCTATTTTTTTTCTAAATTATTTTTTATAATTATATTTTTTTAGTAGAGGATTCTATTACTAAATTATTATTATTTAAAACCCTTATTTTTTTAATATTAGTAATATATTTATTCTTTTTTCTACTTAATTTTATTATAACTTATATAAAATTTAATAATTAAACTAGTAAAAGAATATAACCTATAATTTAATATTCTTATTTTCTATATTTTAAATACTTTTCTTTAGTATATTATTTACTAAATTTTTTCTAAGTTATTTATTATATTTATTATAATAGTTTTATATAGAGTTAACAGGATCCTATATATAATTTAATATAATTTATTATAGTAGTAGATAACTAGTTTATTTTATTATTAAATCTCAGAGAATATAGGTAATATATTTATTTAATTTTATTAATATTAAGAATATTTATATTAGTATTAATCTTATAAAGTTAAAAGATTAAATTTAAAAAGATAATTAGAATATTATAATTTATCAGGGCTTTAAATATAATTTTATTAAGTATATCTAAAAAAATCTATTTTTTTAATTTTATTATATTACTAAAGAATACTAATATCTATAAACTTCTTTTCTAATTATAAAAAAAACTTTAAAAAAATTATATTGTCTGATTAATATATTTAATATAACTGTCTTATTATATATATCTTAATATTTAGATATTTATAAATATTTTTAAGATAATTAAGTAAAGTCTATAGTTTACTAATATTTTAATATAGTTTTATAAAAATTCTGGTATTCTTCTATACTAGTTTTTCTAATTTAAAGAATATATATATAAATTAATTTTGGGATAAACTAATAACTTGCTTATTTATACTTAATTTATTTTTTATTATAATATATTATATTAGCTAGTTATTAGAGCTATTATTAAATAATATAAAATCTAATAAATATATTTTTAATTAATAGATTACTTTTATTCTTAGATATTCTAGTATTAATTTAATTATTAACTAGATTAGTATTACTTATTTTTTATTTATTATAGTAATTAATAGTAGAAAAATTTTATATATTTTAATATTATCTTAAGATAATAGATTTATTTCTTTTATATAACTTTTTACTATTTATATTATTTTTTCTTTTTATTTTATATTATTTAAGTTTATATTATCTATTATAATAGTATTTATATTTATACTAAAAGATTTATTAATTCCTAGCTTTATATTTTATAAGAGATTAGAGATAATACTAATAATAGTTTAATTTTTTTTTATCTAGTATTTATTTTTTCTAATATTTATCTAGTAATCTTAATTTTATAATTTAAAAGAATCAGAAATTTTTTATATATAAAGAAATAAAATAAGACTTAAATTTAATCTAACTAGATTATAAAACTATTTATAAAAAGCTTAGAAAGAGAGAGTTCTTTATAGATATATTTCTATATTAGTAGACTAAGGTTATGTGGTTTATGTAACTAATAGCAGGCACTGGCCTGTGACAATATCTTAATCTTAATCTAACTTTAATCTATTAATTAGATCAAAATATAAAAATAAAATTAATAATTAATATAATAATTAATTATTATATTTAAATTAGGTAAAATTAGACAAAAACTAGATTAAATTAAATAAAAATTAAATACAATTAAATAAAGATTAGATAAAAATATTTGATTATTTTATATTATTTTTTTAAATAAATTTAGTTATAAAGAAATCTAATTTATAGATAAATTATTAATTAATCTAAATAAAAATAAATATTTCTTATATCTAATTATTAACCTGTAGTCAGGTATAAAAATTTTGATTAACTTAACCTAATCTAGCTGTTAGCTACTCTACTTTAAATAGATTTAGAAAATTTATTAGTTTCTTATTTATTATTAAACAAGGTCTTAATTATATATATATTTGATTGAAGATTATCTATAAGATATTATATATTTAATATATTTTAATAATTATTTAGAAAAGAGCTTAGATTTTCTTCAACCACTATAACAGTCAACTCTTTTATAATTACTATTTTTCACTGCATCAGACTTCATTCCTTTATTTCAAAAAAGTAGGCAAGTTTTGATATTTGTTATCTTTTGGTATATCTTCAAGTGCAGCTGTCTTCACTTTTATGTCTAATCATAATACAGGGTGGTGCATCCGTGCGTGACCTAGTAAATGGCTGGTCCAATAGCAGCTTGGCACAGACTTGATCAACCTCACTTGGCAATAATCACACTGGTTGTATTATTTTTGGACTCATCCGAGCCAGCCGCTTATACCTAGCTTTCAAGCTGCCGAGGGGCGTAAGAATACTCTAGGCTTTTCATTGAAGCCGAATTACCGTAACTAAATCCGGTATACACACTAATGAAATTTAGATATTTATTAGGGTTTACATTAGGGTTTACATTAGGGTT